TGAAACTCAACAAAACTTGGCTCCCAGCTCTGAAAAATACAGTACAGTGTGCATCAACGAACTCTACCTAGCCACAAGGACCTGGGATCAGTACACACAAAAGACCAGCTAATGACATCCAACAATCACAGTGACAGATAATCTCTCCTCCTTATCACAACAATACACCCACAACAAGACACAATAATTACCCATCTCCTGAAAAGGACAATAGCTGATCTCACAGCCATAAATACCCATCTTCCAAACAAACTGCACCAGAGCACAGAGTGCTATTCTCTGAAGATGCCGGCCACAGAAACTGGCAATATGTTAGGAAGAACAACCTTCAGAACACGTCCAAAGAGCCCAAAAAACCCACAACAACCTTTAGAGAAGAGGATTGGAATTTGGAGTTTGGAGTAGAGAGAGATAGAGTGGGCAGTTGAGAGTGGATGAAGTAGGATGCTTTGTTACGAGTTAACGACATTTATTGTACCTTCATCACATGTAATAATAAACAATTTCTATTCGGTTCTTTTAAAAATGACAGATTGCCTGGACCTCTATCATTCATAATAAATAATGTTGATGTAATCAACTGGTGGCAGCTAAATGACTCATTGCTTGTGCCTTTTGCTTTGTGAAACAACCAAGGGACAGGCGGGAACGTGACACCTGTATGGGCAAAATCTTGTGTAAAGCTCCAAAACCTTATATTAAGCAGTTTCTCCTCTTGACTTGGAATACCAGCCCTCATTATAATCACAGTGTGTAGATATTTTCCCATGTAAAGATATCTCCTTGTGTGTTCCGTAAGCAAACCTTAGAAAGAATCAGTCTAACCTATTCAAGTGAAAAGGGCTGTATATAGGTTAGTAAACGGTGTTTTGTTTTGTTTGGGGGGTTGTGTTCTTTTTGTAGCAGAAGAGAGGAAGTTTAATGGGAAATGATAATGTCCTTACTCCTGAACCTGGGAGTAGGAGGGTGTTGTTTGTTTTTGTGTCCGTGGCGGAGGGAACTGCTCCTGCTCTTACATATCACATTCTCTATGTCAGTATGAAGAAAGATAGAAAGAACTGGGCAACTTTAGCCTTGAGAAGAGAAGGCTGAAGGGAGGTATGAGAACACTTTCCCAATACTCAGAAAGTAATCATACAGACGAGAGGCAGGATCTGTCCTTGATGATCCCAGAGTGCAGGACACATAATAATATGATTTTGTGATTCTATGAGTATAGACATATATGCATTTTAATGTTGTATTTAAGAACACATTCATTTAAAGTAGTTTGGACAGTACTTTAAGTATTTATTTATTTTTATCTATAATGTATGTTTGTTTGTTTGTTTCACCTAGTAGCTGGGTCACTACTTTAGGCAGCTCACAATATAGCAATGTAAACATAAAGTAAAATCCAATAATGATCACATTAAAACATCAAATAAAAGGGAACCAAAACATATAGTAACTATATATAAAAATATCTGACATAGCAAATGACAGCAAAATAGTGACATGAATGTTAATACTCAAAACAGATGATTAAACCAAAATTGGTACAGGATAAAGTTGTAGAAGGCCTGTTGAGATAGGAGTTAAGATGTGCAATTTGCCTAAGCTGATAAAAGGCAGACTGGTCCACAAGCTGTGATCAGATTCTCCATTGAAAGGGCTTAGTCCAAGAGCATACTCAGATTATGAACCTGAGCCTTCAGAGGGAGTGTGACACCAGACCATCTAAGTAGCCTTATAATCAATGGGGATT